CTTATATTTTGATTCATTCTATTGCACCTAAGTTTAAGTAGTTACTCAGAGCTGAGCTAATTCAGAAAGAGAACGCATCTCTAATGAGTTGTTTGAACATTTCTTGATGAGATAGATATAACTCTAAACAAATAAACTTTATGTGTGTATAACACGGCGGTATTTATTAAGTGCGTAGTTGCTATCTAATGTGTTTGTAGACTCACAAGGTTTAGCTGACAGCTGACAATTTATATACTGATATTTAACTACAGGTTTATGTATATACTGCAGCAACACACAATCGTTAAGAACAGATCATAGAATATTTAACCACTGGGCTTTGAAAAATACACATCAATCCTTGGTTTTGTCCTGATGGCATCCTGTACTTTTTTTTTTTTTACACATGTACAGAAAATAAAGAGCTACATTTTTGCACAAGGTACAACAACAAAAATATCAGTACCTATGAACAGAGCTACACTCATACATATTCAGTGAGAAATCTACAATATGGTATGATTGCAAACAGATCATTAGCCAGTGTGTGTTAAAAAGTCAAAACAATTCAAATAGCTGTTCTGTAGTTGATCTACATGTAACAACAGGTAATCTACTTTCGAGCCTTTAATAAGTTTAATGTGTTTTATGTACCATGATAGCACTGACAATGTCAACAGAATTGATTCAATTTGTAGTCTTTAATTTTTTTTACTTTATAATAACATATTGATTATATGCTTGGTCTTCAGTGTACTTCAATTTTTATAATTTTACTATGTGCATCATATCAATTTAAATTTTGCAACGTTTTCTAACTCTTGTTACTGCTTTTTGAGTCCAAAAAAAACATCTTCCCTCTCTGCAGCCTCTGCAAAATGCATAAACAAGGCTTTGAAATACAAAGAAGAAAGTGAATCATATGAGCCTATTAGTTGGGGAAATAGATTTTGAATGTTACTTATAAGCAGCTTATAGCCCCTGTCCTTTTGCAGCCTGAAATCCTCATACATGACCCTTTGGCTATTCTTAAATCTCAAAACACTCCACCAAGGAACTTGCAGCTATTTTATTTGATCCTATTCTTTTTATGGTGTGTTCTTAAACGTATCTGTGTTTTTTACTATACATATGCCATTGTGTAACATGGACACAATCCTGTCCTACACATAGAAAATCTCAACCTGTAGAATGATACAACTTTCAACCCTCAGCTGTTACGTACCATATCAGCCATGCCTGTGGTGCGTTCCTCCAGCCAGTCGATGGGAGCACGGTAAAGCTTCTTCAGGAGTGACTTCCTTTGGGTCAGCAGCTGGTCTGGGAAGTGACAGTAAAACAAAACCTTCTTCCTGTGACGCGACAATCGAAGCATCGGGATACACGCTGACACCTAGAGTAGATTTAGAGGGGAATAAATCCTAAATATAAATACATACACAACATAACTAAACAACCAGCTAGATTTGTTGATGCTTAATCACCTTCTGTCTTAATACTAAAGAATATATCAAACTACTTCATGCACATCTGAAGAAGACAGAAACCTTTAAAGCTCTATCTTACTGCTGTTTTACATATTTTCATCTGAATAATGATTTTCTCTACACTGTTATGATGTCTGAGAAAAGGTGGTACCTGTAAAAGAAAGGTATCTTTGTTGATTTGTGTTAAAAGTTAAAATACAGTAGAAAATAAACAAGGGAGTGTCCACTTCATGGTATGGTTTGAGGGTGTGACACAATAAGGGAGACCCAAAGAGAACAGCCATTGTTAACAATGGAAGCTATTCTCTGAGAGATTTTTACCAGATAAGGGAGGCTTTGAAGAAGTCAAATACGTGCTGTACAAACAGACTGATGGGTAATATCTGTCTGAAACAACTCACTTGATCACAGAAGATGACATCATACTCCTCGCCGCTGAGGAAAACCAGGTAGAAGGCCACAAAGATCATCCTCAGGTAGGCACATAGAGCATGAAGGAAACCAAACACACTGGTAGGTAGCCAGTCACCCACACAAACCTAAGAGGGTAAAAATGAAAATCTTAAAATGAAAACTTCTGAGTGTCTGTACGTTATATTTTAAAGAAAACACTGTAAGGTGTGTTAACGTACGACAGGTAGATCTGGGTCCAGGGTCTCAGAGAAGCAGTGTGTTGGGTCGTAATGGGCCGTCCAGATCTGAACACTGCATCCTTGAGATTTCAAAGCTACTGCGGCATCCACCACCAGTCGCTCAGCTCCACCTATGCCAAGGTCTGGATGGAGGAACACCACCCGAACCATCCTAAGATAAGATAAGATAATCCTTTATTGATCCCCAGTGGAGAAATTCAATTCTACACAATAACAATGAAATAGGTTCAACTAAGTATTATGTTTTCTGAAAACAGGATGCTGATTTGCAGACAGACCTGGTAATACAATTCATTAAATGTTTTATTACTACATCAGGATGGATGGATAACATTATCAGTGGGTCAGTGACAAATAAGGGTGGTTCAGATGACTAATTCAAAAATCTTTTAAAAACACAATTTGAAAGCATGCATCAGGTTCATTAAAATGTGAGATTTGTATTCATGTTGGTTTTGTGTTTTTTAAAATGACATTTAAACCTTTTTTTTTCAAAAGGTGAGACTAAATGGACCTAAAAATGTCAAGTGGTGTGACCACTGTAAAATCAAGAATATTGAATATTTTATACATCTAGAGTATATGTAAGTGTACTCATGATTGTAATTACTTCATTTTAAAATAGCACAAGAAAATAGATTGTATTAGGATTATCCCTAAATTTATAAGTTATGCCCTTTTTCAATACTGAGCGGGGCACAAAGCTGAAAACACCTCTGTTTTCTAATTCATTTTTGGCAAATTATGTAAAAATTGTTGAAAAAACATGTTATTTCACTGCAATAGAGGACTACTTTTATTCAACTTTAATTGTCCTGTATTTTATTATATTTTTTTAAAGAAATACTGGTTACACCAATTGATGCAAACCAGTTACACCAACTGACCATACTGTTTCTACAGTCAATTGTTTCTTGAAGAAATTGTTGTTATGTTTGCTCCACCTACCAAAGTGCACAGAATACCAGTACGCTGATGACAGTAATGTAGCACATTTGTCTTAAACACAGAATAGCATAAAACTGAAGTGAATAGATCGGCCTTTTGGATAGGTCTCATAGATCGGCAAATTCTTACTGATACCTGATCTAGCTGTCTTAGCCAGGATCGGTGCATCCTTAATTAATTCATATCTTGAGTAAATTACAACATCTGACCGAAATCTTCAGGGGGAATTCATTTCTTCAGTATTTGGAATAAACTCAAGGTACTTGTGCCCTAATCAAAGGATAACATACCCACAGGCAACACTTTACATCTCTCCTTCTTTACATCATGGCCATCACAACACAAACAGCACTGTAGTACCAGACTTTGGCAAGCAAGCTACAGGAAGTGACATGCTGATACTACCTACCTACCACATGGCCCCTGATAGCCGACACATCTAAAATGCAACTACTGGTGCCAATATTACAGCATACATACATATATTAGATCATACATGTTTAAAGGTGCACTGTGTAGATTTGGTTGTGAAATTTGAAAGTTGGAGAAGTGAAACAATTCTTTGATATATTTTCTGAACTGAATACACAAACTTTATTCCCTGGAACACTGTTTGGAGATATAAAGCTACCAGGAGAGTTATTATCCTGTTTAAATCTACTACACATTACCCTGTTTAAATCTACTACACATTACCCTGTTTAAATCTACTACACATTACCCTGTTGAAATCTACTACACATTACCCTGTTTAAATCTACTACACACTACCCCGTTTAAATCTACTACACATTACCCTGTTTAAATCTACTACACATTACCCTGTTTAAATCTACTACACATTACCCTGTTACACATTACCCTGTTTAAATCTACTACACATTACCCTGTTACACATTACCCTGTTTAAATCTACTACAGATTACCCTGTTTAAATCTACTACACATTACCCTGTTACACATTACCCTGTTTAAATCTACTACACATTACCCTGTTTAAATCTACTACACATTACCCCGTTTAAATCTACTACACATTACCCTGTTTAAATCTACCACACATTACCCTGTTGAAATCTACTACACATTACCCTGTTTAAATCTACTACACATGACCCTGTTTAAATCTACTACACATTACCCTGTTTAAATCTACTACACATTACCCTGTTGAAATCTACTACACATTACCCTGTTGAAATCTACTACACATTACCCTGTCTGTCACAGTGTCCTGTACTATAAAAACCTCTGGCAGGCTCTGAGGGGAAGAAGAACAATTGGCAGCAAAAATACAGAAAGTGTGATTCTGTGAGTTAGATAACTGTGTCGATATGAAACGTGACATTGATAAGATGTTGAATACAAGACAATGTAGCTATGACATGTTAACCCGTTTTAGTAAGATAAAACCTCTTCCGCGGGTTGTGTGACTGAATAACACAATTCACCTCATAAAAATTAATTATAAGCAGTAATTATTACATTTTAATTTCTTGACCAACCTGTCCAACTTTGGAAACCTGTGACGATCCCCTTCTAAACGCTCCTAGAAGCAACATCAACTGTTGTGAAACTCTAGATTTAGGGAGCCATCTTGGCTCAAAGTTACCATTAAAGTCAAGGTACTTGCGCTTCTCGTTTGAACCGCAATGGCGTCTGTTTCTCCTATGAAGCAGACTCGCTTCCTGTGAGACACGTCTCCTCAAACTGAAGACTGACCAATTATTCGCCATTAAAATAAAATATAATTTAAAAAACCCCAGATTTCCACAATGAGAATGACAATGTGTGTTATAATTACTTTTCATTTAAAAATGTAGTACATAAGCGTTTAACTAAACATTTGATGGATTCTCTCAGCGATGAAGGTTAACTTCCAGTCAGGCATCTGCGTGGTCGCCTGCGCTGGTCTTTTAGTTTGCAGTCGTGTCCTTTTTAGAACAGCGTCAGCTTTGTGGGGTCTCCTCTCAAGTTTTGACCAATTCATACATCGACAGTGTGCTGCTCGTTTTGACGTGGACATCAGTTTGAAGAGGGGCTCAGGGTTTCATATCCCATCAGGACACTTATCTCAAAATGGTAAGAATCTCAGCTTTATTTAAAACAGGTAGGACTGTTGAAGCTAATCACACTTCTTTAACGTGACACAGAAGTTAGCATGTGTTAGCTGTGTTGCTAACGACAGATCATCATTTGTGGACGTGGCTTTTTCAAGACTTCAGTCACAAAACACACATGTGGTGCTGACCCAGAACTGGATGTAATTAACTGTATGTACATGTCAACATGTTTGGTTTCGACCCTGCATGTAACCATTTACTGTGAAATTGAAATCAATGAACAGTGTTGGCTATTAGTCAGGCCTCTGCTGTCAGTCACCGTCATGAATGAAGTTTAGAATTTCTACATGTCAATAAATTGGAAACATGAAGAAAACATGACAAAATCTGCCATGAAATCATGAAAACCAGAAATATGTGCATAATAATATTTGATCACTGGTATATGTTGAGTTAAATTTGAGACATAATTGACTGTAATAATTTTTTGTATCCTACAATTTGGCCCTCTGGCAGTGAGAATTAAATGAATGTGGCCCCTTGCTGTGATCAAAGTTGCCCATCCCTGTTGTAGACTTTACTGAGCTGAAATGTTATTTCTGAGTATGTGTTAGTGGGTAACAGATTGGGGAAATGAGATATCTCTCTGTCTATGTGTCTCCCCTCCTTTTTTAGCCTGGACCAGCAGCAAGCGCAACAAATGTCGGGGCATCGAGCCGCTCCCCCAGCAAGACAGTGGCTCCCCGTGCAGCAGGCTCCACAGTCAGACAGAGGTACACACACACACACACACTCACTCACTCACTCACTCACTCACTCACTCACTCACTCACTCACTCACTCTCACTCACTCACACTCACTCACTCACTCACACACAGTCACAGAAACTTACACCTCTCTCTTCAGATGGGTCAAGTGTTTTCACAAGTTCGCAACAAATCAATATAAGAACCAGAATTGATGGGTGCAGTAACCCACTGAATGAATATCATTACCTGATGGACTCAGTGGGTCACTCGATGGTCAACAATCATCAATCACTATTTGTATAGCGCCAATTCACAAGTGTTGTCTCCAGACGCTTTACAAAAGAGCATATGGGATAATGTGCAGGAAGAGTATAAAAATGATGAGCATTTAGTTTAAATAGCCACCTTCAAAGTTTTGGATACTTTTGGTTCCATAATATGGCAGCTCATTTGACCAACATCATCAAAGCACTTAATGAGGACATTTCTTTCAACCCACCAATAGACAAGCATCTGTGGTGATGTCTTGTCTTAGTTGTGTACCAGCTGGAGAAGCTTTCAAATACATTTTATGCAGGCTTTTCAATTAATTTGTCAAACGCATGTGTTTGCCATTACTGTGAAAATAAGCCTTTGAAGACCACTTCAAAATAAAACAAATAAAAAGTTACGCTATCATCCCAGCCTGTTTACACTCGCACCATTTTTTTTCTTCTACTTTCCAAACTACTGAACCCACCTTCTTGTGGCGTCCCACTGTTAACAGAGATGGATGAGTTCTGGATACCCCTCTCCTGTATTTCTTTGTGTGCCCTCCTCTGTAGATTAGAGTAGCAAATAGATGTTGTGCTGTGGCCTTAATCAGTGTGTAATCACACGCTCACTGTTACATCTCTCATTATCCATTACTATCACCCTCTTCATTACCTCATTAACCTTCGTTTAATCTCATCACACGAGTGAAGCAACCATGATTCACTCAGCTCTTTAATCGCCTGCTACTGTAGTTGCTTACATCTTGAGTACAGTTTGTGATGGAAAAGACTGTCAACTTATTGTATGATAAGAATGAACACATTTTTGATTGGTCCCTCAAGAAGTATTTTAACACTATAAGATCATATTAGTTGTCATATTGAGCATTACAACATTCTTGACCTTATCTGTGTGTGTGCTACAGGAAAGCTACCAGCAGCGGCACACGCAGCGGTGGCAGGACCACGGGATCGGCAGGGACCGGTGGCATGTGGCGCTTTTATACAGAAGACTCACCAGGCCTCAAAGTGTAAGTGCTGTTTATAAAAGCAGTTGTATAGCCACACACACAATCCCTCAATCCCTCTCAACCATGCACGCAAAGTCCAGAAAATACACTTTAACAAATTTAGCCTTTGACATCATCAACGTTCATCTACTCACAACATGTTCTAATTCTCAGGAGTTCCGACACTTGTGCTTTAAGTGTTATTAACGTTCATAAGGTAGGAGGGGAGAAGGGTTTGATTGCAGGAAATTGGGCAGACGTGCCTCTGCTGTAAAACTATTCATCCCTAATCAGTGGATGTGTTTATATTCACACACACACAATAACGTGTTAGGATAGTAAACCTTTAAGAGAGCTTAAACTTAATAAAAGTTATACCCTGCTGCATCCTCGCCCAACATATTAGAGAAGGCGTCCTGTCTCCAGGCTGAGGTCGGCCGTGTTTGATCGATGGTGCTGTGGTGGTTATTGAGTGTGTCTCTCCAGCAGTCAAAGGAGGGCACACCGTCCGTACAGTGCTGTATATCGAGTGCGTGTTTGTTCCTGCGTTAGACGCCCGCCTCAAAGCTTCATTAAAGTATCCACTCTGAAAGGTCAACTCAATTACAGCCTCCTGACAGGGAGAGGAGGGGGTCCGCTGAGGAGCTGGTTGGCATGGCAATGCTGCTGCTTAACGATGCGCCCCCTCCACCCCAACCCCCACTCAGTCCCTCCTTCAGCTATAAGAGCCCCTCCTTGTTTCCCCGAAGCTCATCAATAAAATCAGCCACTCCACTAAGACCCTCAATCCGGTTGGGGTTACAGCAAATGATGGGATTTTTTGTGTATGTGTGTGTTAATAAGTGTGTCTTTGTTGTTACAGCGGCCCGGTACCAGTGCTGGTGATGAGTCTGCTCTTCATCGCTTCCGTTTTCATGCTGCACATCTGGGGGAAGTACACCCGCTCTTAAACCCAACCTGATGATCTCTGACCTGTGCCTCGGCTTCTTGACCTGGACCAAAAAACAAAACAACCTTACTCCCCTATTTTCCATTTCCACAATCATAACAACACAAACTGACACACAAACTGGATTTTTTTTTTTTTTTGTATTTGACCATTTCAGTACAAAAAATGTATCTCCAATGATGCTGGATTCCACCTTGTTGCTTTTGTTCTTCCCGGGATTTTAGGAGCTAACGGGCTGAACAGGAGGATGCAGTGCTAGTTCACCTCACATGTGATGTCTGTGTGTATGGCCCTCCCTCTGAGCATCAACAGCAGCATGTTTACGCCACTGTTGCGTAAAGGTTTAGTGCCGTGCCCAAGGACATTGTTGTTTTCAGGCCGCAGCAAACATTTCCTCTTGTTGCCTGAATTACATTTTTTGTTAACACCATTTGTACAAATGTAATTGTAAAATTGTACAATAAAAATGAAAAATCCATTTGCATTGAAAGTAATCATTTTGTTGTGAAAAAATGTCTGGTGTGTTTTCTTAATTAAATCATCCTGTTTATATAAAAAGAAAAATACAGGTTTACGTAACAAGTTGGGTTGTGTTTTCACTTAGATTAAACATCACTCACATACTGTATCACCTTCTCTACATGAGCAGAAAAGACCAGACTTGTCAAAACGTATGTGAACCAGCTGCTTTAAATTGAAGTTTGACTGGCTCAAAGTGTAAATCTTAAGTATGCATGCCGCTAAAGAAGTTCAGAGGCCCCTGCCTCAATAAAGGACAGCCTCAAGGTTTTTTTTATTGCCATCCCCACTGAAACTTTTCTTTCTGATGCTTTCAATAATTGCAGTCTGGCTAAATTAGTTTTCGAAAAATTGCAAGTTCAGTCTCTATAGTGTCAGAGTAATACCAGAAGGCATAAGACACACAGGACGTCAAGAATTGTATGGCCTAAATACAGAATGTTAGATTTATTCTATAGATATCTTTTTTAATTATCTGTCCCTATGATTGTCCGTTTGGATGTGTATCTTACTGTATGTAGGAGAATAGAGCAGAGCAATAAGCAAATGTTTTTTTTAGAAAGCAAACCTGTCATTAAATAATGATATGCCTTTAAGTGACTCTCTGAAAATGTATTCGAAATCAAATTAAATGTAGTTCTTTGTGCCTTATAATTCCTAGCAATGAGTGTTGATGCTCATTGAAAGGCTGAGTTTGTCTCTAAAAGTCAAGATTTATAAAAAATGTGCATCTTACCCAGGTGTTTTACTCTCTTTTCCTGAGGGGGGCGCTGTAGACCGTTTTCTGAATATCACTGGTTGAGAGGATATTGAGTTTATCATGATCACATTTTCAGCATGGTGATGCTTATCATTATTAAACTGCAATGTAGCATGTTTGTGTAACCACACTCAGCTGCCAGAACAAAATCATTCACTGTGTTTTATAATCAATAGCCTTGTAACAGGATTTTTTTTTTTTTTAAGTCTCTAAATCAGTGCTCATGGTGTGAAGCAGGTTTACATCTTCATGAAGTTAAACAGTGTGGAATGAATGGACGATGTTCAATTTAAAGGCTGCAGCTGGATGTTCTGCAGCCTAGTTGTAGAGGTAGTTCTAAGCCCAACCTAATCTGTGTTAAATATGAAACCACCAGCTGGCTTTGCCTTTTGCTTATGCATTTGTGTGTGTCAATGTGTATGTGTGTGTGTGTGTGTGTGTGTGTGTGTGTGTACCTTGTGTTAAACACAGCATTCAGATCTCCTGTTCATTAATTCATTCTGTTGCTATGGTTCTGCTTTCCCACAGGCTTCCAGTGTTCGTGGCAAACTCGGCACTCCTGCCACATCACTCTCCCTGTCGTCCCTGTCCTACACACACACACACACACACAATGAGAGATACACTCACTAACTCCACGGCCCAATTCATGGTGGCACAACACGACTGTGGGCCAGAATTATTCAACATAAGCATTCAATATTAAGGAGCTGTGGTGGTGCTGTCCCTCAGTGTTCAGCATTGAAACGTGGAGCGTTGTGACCCTTCATGCTGCTGCAACCTGTAGTTCTAAACTCCTCCTGACACCGTCTACACAAATCAAGTCAGTGTTTCATCACAGGGTGGATATAAGTTCTTAATTTTCTTAGTGATTAGTACTCTAGTCTTTGTGTTTGGGACAGGAAGTCACATAAATATAAACCCTTAAATCACTCATATTTATGAAATAACATGTTTTTATTTCTGTTTTTTTTCCACTTGTGCTTACTGTTTTTTAAAAAGTCTGGCATTATACCTGCACTACTTGCACTGTAAGCATAACAATGAAACATAACATCCCAGAGGAAAACAGCCAAAACACTAATCTTTGAATGTGATAATTCGGAAAGAGTTCCTGTGTAACCTTTGTATATTAATCTCCCACACTTCACTAAAACAAGTGTCTTTCTTTTAGTAGTTTGGAAATCACTCATACATTTTTCATACAGGAAAGGAAGTTTTCAATATTTTTATGGGCAAAATGTCGTAAAGGTCTATATTAAATTAAAACTCTAAGATAAAGGTGTAATTTCACTTTTTAACTGATTAAAAAGACATTAAAAGAGTACAGTTCTGCTTGATTGTGAAATCAAATTTTGAGGTAAAAATGTAACTCATTCTTCCAACTGGAATTTACAACCGAGTGATTTATTCCCCCTGTCGGTGAGATCATAAGAAAGAAGTTATCTGAATACATCTTTCCATTACATCAAACAAAATTCTGTCAACGTGCATGTTAAGTTACCAGAGAAGCACAACCCACCAGTATCTGTCTCTATTTGACTCAAATGGTCCTGAACATTTCAGACGTTTGTTTCATGAAAAAAAAATTAAAAAGAAAGAGAGAGAGAGAGAGAGAGAGAGAAGTGAGAGCTAGAGGAAGAGGAAGAAAAAGAAAAAACAACAAGAAGCTTTCTTTAGAGTTCAGTCTTTTTCACCAGAACCCATTTCCTGTGAAGAAACCACACATTTTGACAAGGGATGGCCCCTTACATGGGGGGCTGAGCACGTATAGTGCATAAACACACACGCGCGCACGCACACACACACACACACACACACACACACACACACACACACACACACATCTAGTACTAAAGGAGACCTGTAAATAGGTCACATGCATTCTCTGTTCTACATAACAAACGCCTCTCTGTGGTTTGCCATGGAGAGAAATAGGGTAACAATTTGTGTTAAGGTTTACATATTAAGCTACATGTCAGCTTGCTTTTTAGTAAAAAACATTTTTGCTCTTCATAAGTCATTAAAATCGATCTATTTCTACCTTATTCCGAATGACTATATTCCACCTCAAACATCTTCCTTTTTATTGCTAGTTGATAGTAAGGATGTTGTATTTCAAATACAAAGACATCCTTGATTTACTTTTTATCAGCAGTAATTATGATTTTATTAAGGTGAAATCCCTAATTAATGGTCTTGTAGTCGTAGAATGTTGTCATGCAGAACAAGAGGAGATTTAAAATGATTTATAAAAAGCCAACCTGCTACATCTGCTAATTAGCAGCTAACTAATGGTGAGTCTGTGTACCCTCCCTTTAAAATGAAACTAAAAAGGAAACTGCTTAGTCTCTCTCTCCCTCTCCCCCTCCCCTCCCCTCTCTCTCTCTCTCTCTCTCTCTCTCTCTCTCTCTCTCTCTCTCGGTCTATATCGCTCTCTCACTCATCCATCACAGTCATGTTTATGCCTGGAGATGTTCCACCCTGCAGGTAAACACTCCTATCAGGATATCAGGTGCATCAGAGGGCTGAGGATCTGAAACTCTTCTTTCCTTGCAAAGACAGTGCAGAATGTTTTTTTTTTTTAGACGAGAGAGAGTTTGCCCAGTCATGCACAGAGTGGTATGTCAAGGAAGAGTGTGTATTTGTGAACAGATCACATGGTTGGTAAAGCGTGGAATGAAAGGACAGGCGGGTGGAATCGATCCACGCTCACTGGAAGAGTGAATCCTGAGGGACGTCCCAAGAAATGAGGGCTGGTTAAGGGGATGTAGGGACACCTGTGACAGGGACTACACTAGCTGCAGGCACACAGGCCTATTTGCCCAGTCATGCACAGAGTGGTATGTCAAGGAAGAGTGTGTATTTGTGAACAGATCACATGGTTGGTAAAGCGTGGAATGAAAGGACAGGCGGGTGGAATCGATCCACGCTCACTGGAAGAGTGAATCCTGAGGGACGTCCCAAGAAATGAGGGCTGGTTAAGGGGATGTAGGGACACCTGTGACAGGGACTACACTAGCTGCAGGCACACAGGCCTATAGCTAAGCAAATTGTATTTGCTGATAACAAGATACGGTGTACTATACAAGTGCTGACAGTGGTGTAATAAGTGATGAGCACCTGAACTTAAGTAAAAGCAGCAATGAAACTGTAATAATATCAAGTAATTCAAAAGAAAAAAATATAAATAATATTTGTTACCAAAGCAGAAAATTCTCACTTTAATCTGAAAAAATAAAAGTACTTATTTTACAGGATTGTCTCCCTCAAATGTTAAATAACTGATCATCTGTGATAATGACATAAAGGGATGGCTCATCTGATGCTATGAAGCCAATGCTAACTCATACACTACATAAACAATATAATTCATTTTATTTAATGAACTGATATGGTTTTCTTTGACAACTACTTTCTGCAAAATACTTGTGACGTCATGTTGATGGCTCCTTATGTATCCTACATGTATCAGACATTAATCAGCTACTGCATGTTCTCTTCTTCTTCTGTGTTTAAGTTTCTTATTAATGCTCTGTACTGTGATGTCATTTATTAAAAATAACACTATTTATAATAATAAATAAATAAATAAAATGTATTAATAAATAAAAACACATTTTTTAATACTTATGCTTACTGCAATTGTTAGTATATAACGTTGCACACGTTACACACAAAAATGATTTTTTAAAGGCTGCTTATATTTTGTTTCCTTTATTGCTAAATGGTTTGCAGATGATCTTTTATTGATTATTGATTGTAAAAATGTAACTTTGTATTCATCTATTTATTAAATGGATTTTTGATAAGGACAGATACAGATTCATAGAAACAGCTTTCCCATTCATGTATAAAAGTGTTTAGAGTAGAGGCTTATGTGCAACACTTGTTGCACATAAGCCTTTAGGTGAATAAGAGATTAAAAGAGTGAGTACAAAATGAAACATTACATTTAAAACTCTCTCATTGTGTTTTACTGCCATCTTAGAGGCACTCTATCGATACACGCGTTTGGTTTTTATGTAGACTATAATCTCAAATGCTACCTAGGTTCATTTATTAAAAAATGCACATACTTCAAAGGTCACTGAAGGAAGCGCAGCGTATCACACATGCGTGTGCTTTGTTGGTCCGGTTGCTGGGATCATAAGACCGGTGATCAGTCAGTCACATAGCAGCCAATTGGTGCAAGAGTC